CTTGGCTCGCTACCGTACCTTTGTCTATATTTATATATATATTTAGCGATATGTGTCTATTGCTGCTCGTATGGACCATCCCTTTCGGGAAAAAGTTCTACAGGTCAGGCCTCAACTTACCAACCCAAAGGAGCCCCCCAATTTCGGTTGTTAAATGAGACAGTTGTTAAGCGAGTTTTTGGCCCCATGTTATGACCTTTCATTCCCGCGCTTGGTTAAGTGAATCACTGCAGTTGGTAAGTGAGTCACACGGTGGTTAAGTGAATCTGGCTTCCCCGTGGGGGCTTTGCTGGTTGGAAGGTCACCAAAGGGGACCACATGACCCCCCCCCCCCGGGATGCTGTGACCATCATAAATGTGAATCACATGACGGTGGGGACGCTGCAACGGTCGTTAAGTGTGAACCAACCGCCAAAGAGTCTGAATCTTGTTCCCATGACCGTGGGGGCGGCTGCAGAGGTTTTGTTCAGTGTGAAAAATGGTCACAGGTATAACTTTTTTCCCCTGTGTCGGTGTAACTAAGAACGGCCACTAAATGAACTGCTGTAAATTGAGGACTCCTTGTTCTTTTAACTGCCTAAGGGGTTTGGCAGCCTTCATCCAGAGAAGCGCCCAGGAGAAAGAGGCCGATTTTTGGAGGGCCCCTTGTCCTTCCTCCGGAGGGTAACACCCCGAGCAGTTCTCTCCTCCCTACGACCTTGCGAGGTAGGTTAGGCTAAGAGCAAGAGAGGGACCGGCCTGAGGCCACCCCGTATTTTAAGGCTGAGCAGAGCTTTGGAGCTGCGTTTTTGTCCACCCGGACACGTTCCAGCTGGCATCCACCCCCCCCCAAACCCCCCCCCCCCGAAGAAGCAGGAAATGTGGACGTTTTGAGCCCCTCCTGGACTGGAAAAAGGACATCATTGAGGATTTTAAATCGGATTTTTTTTCTGGGGGGGGTCCCAGGGATGCAATGGGAGATTCAGGGAGGGTTTTTCTCTGGATGCAAAGGCAGCGTGGTTAGGGGGGGGGCTTTCTCGGGGTTTGGGGTGTCCTCATTGGGCCTGGAAGGGATTGAGAAATGGGGCAATTCAGGGGCAAAAGACCCCTTCGGAGATCCTTAGAAGTTACTCCCTCTGGCCGGGCTCCCCAAAAAGGCCTTAGAAGAGAGATGAATAACAACCATCGTCGTTCTTGGGGGAAAAAAAAGAAGAAAAGCAGCAACGTTTTCATTGAAACGTAGGCAGTGACCCCTTTCCTTCCTCTTCCTCCTCTCGTACTTTTTTTTTTTTAAATGGTAGAAAAGCAATATGTAAAAGTAGCAATTATTTTGCACAGCGTTTCTCTTATGTCACACAACCATTACACGTTAACATTTCTACAGTGAAAAAATAGACTTGTCTTTAAACATAATATGAACAAATAAGTAGTTTTTTTTTTGTAAATTCGTTGACTGATATTCTTTTGTATTTTTACATATTTTTTAAAAAAAGGAAAAAAAAATTACACTATTAAAAAAAGGAGACCCAGGAAATAAAAATAAGAAATAAATGTCACTTATAAGAGTTACATCGATACCTTTTTTTTTTTTTTTAAAGAAAGCCACTCAGTGATGGTGCCTAATTCTTATAACCAAATCCTTGCAGTCCGTTTATTCTGCCTGGATTTTGAAATGGAAAGTACCTTTCTGTTCATTTGGACATTAAGGAAGCCTGCACGAGCTTTCTCTGTCCCCAAAATCCACAGGCTCGTCTTCAAATCTGCCATTTTTCTCTTTGGCATCAGGGAAGGGGAAGTTAAAACACCCACAGAAATAAATGAGAGCAACGACAGACAACAAAAAAGAGAGAGACTAATTTGGATGCGCTAAGGGAATCAGAAAAGCAGGGGGAAGAATTCCTTAAAAACAACAAAAAAACGAAACAAAACAAAACAAAAAATTGGAACTCTTGTGAAATGTATTTCAAATCTCCATGGCTCCTATTTTTTTTGAAATCTGGAGAACAGGAGATCACCTGGAACTGGCAATTTGCAAGATTTCCAAAAATTCAGAGTTTAGATGAATGTGTGGGTGAGCGGCAAAACCTGTGGATTTTATTTTCATTTGTTATTTTGCAAAATGTGAAATGCCTGGGTGGGTTGGGAGGACGTGTTTATTGCCTGTTCTGGTTTTGCTTTTTTGACACGGTAAGAAGGTTGGTAAAAGAAGAGGAATGTTAAAAAGTGTTTGAGAAGCTAAGCTGAGAAAGAAGCCGCAGGACAGCCAAAACCACCCCACCCCCACCCCAGGTGTGGAGTCCTGCCACTCCAACCTGATGCAAAAATTTTGCTTTGTTTGCCTCTTTAATTTTTTCACACCTCAAGTGGCTTCCTTTAAGTCCGCCCGCAAGGTTAGTAACGTCAACCGAAACCTAAAATGTTACTTGTGGTGGCCAAATTCTTCTTTTGCTATTTCTCCCCATCAGTTGTTCTTGTTTCTCTCTCTCTCTCTCTGCCTGTGTGTAAATCTCTCTGGTTCTTGGCCATGGTTTTTTTTTTTTTTGTTTCCTTTCCCAATCCGACCGCTGCTCTCCAAGGGTGTGTGGACGAGACCCGGCGCCTGCCGCAATAGGAAAAAGTTTCAATACGGTTTCTGGTTCAGTTGCACGCGGTCCGTGTGCTCCCCAACACCGTCGACACCGGATGAGGTAAGAACAACAAGTTTGCCACTTAAAAAGAAGGAAAAGAAGAGGGGGAGGGGGGGGGGGGGGAAATTCCCGCCCTGCTTCGAAGCCACCCTGGGGAGGGGCTCCGGGGTTTTCGAAACACAGGCCAAGAGAGTGGGTGTGTGTGGGGGGTGAAGTCCCTCTTCCGGAGATGCAGCGGCGCCTGGAGAGAAGGAGGGGGCGTTGCTGCTGGCCTCTCCCCTGCCGCCTCCTTTCCGGCGGAGCATCTGAAATGGGCGGATCGGGGAGGCAACGTTTTTTTCTGGTTCAGTCTGTAGGTGTTTAGAAAGGTCGAGGTGAGCTTCGCCTCGCTCAAAACGGGAGCCCTGCAGGCTGAAAAGTGTTAAGGAGTCTGCACAACGCATGGCTTTTGAAAAGTTTCCTTTTCCTTATTATGTTGCATAGTGGTCAAAACTTCCCAGGTATTCCAGGGCCGCCTGATAGCAGAACTGGTATTCGTCCTGGGAGGGGGAGGAAGGAGAGACGGGTTATTGATTGGCAGGCAGAGTTTGCTCTGCTAATTTGTTTGCTGATTTATTAAAAAAATGTTTTGTTCTTATTTCTTTGTATCCTGCCTTTATTATTTGTACAAATAACTCGAGCGGCGAAAATATCCAATGCAATTTCTACCTCCTACTTCCCCCACGACAACAACCCTGTGAGGTGGGTTGGGCTGAGGGAGCGGGGCTGGCCCAGAGTCACCCAGTTGGCCTTCATGCCTAAGGCGGGACTAGAACTCACCGCCTCCTGGGGATTGGCCCACCCACTGGCTTTCATATCTAAGGCGGGACTAGAACTCACCGTCTCCTGGTGATTGGCCCACCCAGTTGGCCTTCATGCCTAAGGCGGGACTAGAACTCACCGCCTCCTGGGGATTGGCCCACCCACTGGCTTTCATATCTAAGGCGGGACTAGAACTCACCGTCTCCTGGTGATTGGCCCACCCAGTTGGCCTTCATGCCTAAGGCGGGACTAGAACTCATTGTCTCCTGGTGATTGGCCCAAAGTCACCCAGCTGGCTTTCATATCTAAGGCGGGACTAGAACTCAATGTCTCCTGGTGATTGGCCCAAAGTCACCCAGCTGGCTTTCATATCTAAGGCAGGACTAGAACCAGGGGTGGGATTCAGCCGGTTCGGCCCAGTTCAGGTGAACTAGATGTTAAATTTACACCTGGTTCATGGAACCGGTAGTTGAACTGACCCGTTGGCCCTGCCCACCCCTCACCGCCCCTCCTAGGAGTTCTCCACCTGGGCCATTTCGGATGCAGGTAAGTGCAGGGTCTGCATGGAGGGGGGAAAACAGCCGAATCGGAAGTTCTGGGAGTCCGGAAATGGGCCTGTTACCAGCTTCCAGAGGCCCTCCGGACTCTAGGGAAGATGAAAAACGGCAGAACCGGAAGTTCCAGTTGGCCACGCCCACCATGGCCACGCCCACCCAGCACCCGGGCAGAGAACCGGTTGCTGGGATTTTCAAATCCCACCCCTGACTAGAACTCACAGGCTCCTGGTGACTGGCTGAAAATTACCCCGCTGGCTTTTATGAAGGCAGGACTAGAACTCTCCGTCTCCTGGTGATTGGCCCAAAGTCACCCAGGCGGCTTTCAGGTCTAAGGCAGGACTAGAACTCACCGTCTCCCTTCACCTGATGGGCCTGCCGCCAACATGCAACAATCGGGAGACCTGTTGTACCAAATTATTCTCACCCCACCAGGGATTTCCCTTCCTGACTCTTTTGAAAAACACACCCCAGGGTCCCTACTTCCTGTCCGAGGAAGATCCTGGGTGCAAATATCAATGGGGCATGCTGGCTTTTGCTACTTTGCAGGAGGAACGGGCCCTCCAGGGAAGGGTGGACCGTTCCTCCCTGAAGCCCCCGGCAGAGGTCACCTCCAGCCTTCTGGAGCAAGGAGGCGGTCAGGAGAAGGGTGGGGGGGGGGGG